TTTTTGGGGGGCCCGCCGTTGAAGGAGAGAGTAGCTCCTTTGCCGCTGTTAATGGAGGAAGGGGAAGAGAGTCTGTATAGAGAGTTTACTTGGTGTGAGTATAAGACGACAGCGTACAAGACGAAGCTTGTTGATGATAGACTCGTACTTTTTGAGAAGCGTTGACTTGTTTCTCTGTGGTTCTGTTCTTCAACAATGGGAAAAAGATCCTTTTTTTTTTTTTTTTGAGAGGGAGTTTGTTTTGCAGTTAGGATTTTAAGGAGTGTTATGTTAGCTAGTAATGAAATTTTCTTTTAGAAATTTGAGCGCTTGCAAATATTATAAATTGCAAAAAGGAATAAAAATTGCATAATGAAGTTTTGGAATTATAAAAAAATTTAAAGTAACATTTTATTATGTTGTTTTAGGGAAATCACATGGGGCATCTTCAACTTATTGAATAATCTGCTGATCAGCTGATAAAAAATAATCTACTGATATGTTAATGTGTTGATAAACTAAGTGCATTGACTATTATAAATTTTTATTTTTTTTGAAAAAGTCAGACCATTCTCAGAAAGTTGTTGTACCTAGATGGGTGCGATGTGAAAACGCTGCTTTCAGCATTTTCAAAACACATAATCTGTCAAAATGCAGTTTACCCAAACAATCAAGGTGCGTTTTCAAAATTTTATCGCACAAAACTGACGCTTAGCATATGATTTATCTTTTATTATGTATTTTGATGTGATATTTATTTAAATTTTATGTAAATAAATATAAACTAATTTATTAAAATGAGATATTTAAATTTATAAGATAAACTCGAATATTTATTTTTAGTTTTTTAGAACAACTTTATTGCATTGAGAATAAATTGAAATAAAGGTTACATCACACAGTCTTTTCAAATTTAAAATGAGGTGGCAGCTGAGCATGGTGATCTCATATATGAGGGCTATTGATTGATAAGACTCCTCTCTAATCATTTATGGAATAGATTGATCAAGGCCACGTATATAATGTGCATAAATAAATATATGATTAAATATTCTCAATTATTAAATGTGATATGTCCATTTATTTATTTTTTTCAATTTAAATTTTATAATTTGAGTTTAATTTTATAATGAAATAGATAATATATACTACCTTACACTCAAAATGTTATATATATTTAGTATTTATAAATTGTATTTATTTTTGTATTTTTAAGTAGTAATGAATTCACATGAAATAAAATATAAAATTAAAATTTTTTTTATTGGTGTTTTGTAGTTAGTACCTCTTTTCCAGTTTTATTATTTTTCTTTGTGTTAATAAAATGAGAGCCGATTTATAATTTTTTTTTTAAATACTCCAATAATTTTTTTTTATTAAACACAGCGTCTGGGGATAATATTTTGAGCTAAGTTTTGATAAAAAAAATTAACTAGAACTTCGATTTAAGTAAACTTACTCCAACGAAACGAACCCAATTATACCAAATATGGTCAAATTCGAGTCAATTCAAGCCCCTATCGAGATATCAAATCATGTTTTGAAGTTTTTAAGCCACATTTGGAAGATCAAAATGATGTCGAATCCAACAACTTAATAATTGAATCAAGCGTCTCGACAAGACGAATCCAATGAGTCTAAGATCGCTCAATTCATACATTGTTAAGACACTCATAAGTCCGTCAAATATTGTGTGATCGAGAGAAGTCATTTGAGTCGTTCAATCAAAGTGGTTCATATTCATGTATTAATTGCACATGGAACTCTAAAAATAGAACACTATCCTTCTCATGAGTGAGGGAGGGAGTTTGAGGCTTGAATGAGAGTTTGAAGCTAATATAAGAAGAAGCTGAAGTCAAGCATCATTGCACAACCGCTGATGACCGCCGTCTACAGCCGTTAACCACCACCTACCAGCAGTAGCTGATCGCTATCAGTTCTGCCCATTATTGACAACAAATTTATTCGCATACCTACGTTATAACTATGAAAATCTTCTAACAATTTTCTCCATGTGAGAGAAGTGGTTGCTATAATATTAGTTTATAGTAGATTCTTGCAATTGGGTCAGGTCCTGTGATTTTTTCATTTTACTGGTTTTCCAGCGAAAAAACTTCTAGTGACTCTATTCGTTGTTTTCTTTTAACTGAGTGCGTGTTGAATCTTCGAGCAATGCTAAGACGACAATCTATTACTCTACCGCTGCGAATTTTCTATACACAAAAAATATTGAAGAAAAGTGTGCATAAAAATTTTTTTGTATAATTATACAACTCTTTCAATGTCTATGAGACTACGACCTTACTAAAATGAGCTGGCCGCCGAGAATAATAACCTCACATAGAATGATAGAAACATCTCTCCTGTAGACACTTGTTTATTGTGAAGTTAACTCGTATTTTATTATTATTATTTTTTTTTTGAGATTAGGCTAATTATTTTTTATCTAAAATAATTTTACTTTTCAATTTTATTCATTATTATTTTTTGAATATAACATAAAATTATTTTTATTTATTATTATCTCTAACTTATTAATATTGATTTATAACTTAACGCAATATGGTTAGTTTGTGTATGCGTTTCATCGAATAACCCAAAAATAATCCAAAAATAAAGACCGTGGGTTATTTTTTGGTTATTTCGGTATTATTGAAAATAATCCAGAAATAATCTAAAAATAATTCAACAGAAAAATTTTTGGTCTCACTGGCCCAATCAACCAATATTATAAGCACTGAAAGTAAAAGTATATGAAAAGAATCTCAATTTAACTCTCTGAGCCTTTTATATACTTAGCAGACAATTACATGTCTCATAATTAAATTTTTATATTTATAAAGGATAATTTAGAATTCAATAATTCTGTATTATATTTAAATCCAAGTAACTCAATAGATATAAAATATATTTTACTTTAATTTGAATTAGATTATATTAGATTTTTTTTTTTCATTATTTTGAACATAATTTCTTTAAGATTTATAATTTTATTTTATTTTTTTAATATCAAATAATTGGTGAGTAATATTCATGTAATTTATAAGAGATTTATATAAATGGCATAATAACATAATATATATATCAAGTGTAGGAACAATGCCACAATTCCTCGCATGCACCAACCTTATCTTCTGCACTGACAAGCTTTGTGATGTAATTAAATAATAAAATTAAAAATTATACTGTCCAATGGTGCAAATAGTTTTTAGTTATTTTTAAAATAAAAAACTTTAGCTACTAATTTGGGGTATCTACTAACATAATTATGGTACTTTATATGTATGAATATATGGTTCGATTGCTCTCTGGGTCATTCAACTAAGCTTAATTGGCTTCGCAGCGGCAAGATCAGCCCAATCGGTTGGATGACATCCACTCGACTAGATGAGATCAGTTAGATCAACTAAGTTTGGTCAATATGGGTAGATCCACTCGACGCCGATCAAACTCTCCTAAGGAGGCGCGCATTTTCTGTCCGGACACCTGACGTACCTTCACGTGCGTCGCAGGGTATTCCTGAGTTATTTTCAGGTTATTTCTGGGTTATTTTTATTTATGGGTTATTTCGGGATTATTGAAAATAACCTGAAAATAACTCAGGAATACCCTGCGCCACACGTAGAGCTACGTCAGGAGTCCGCACAGAAAAATTTTTGCATAATGAGGGGCTTGGATGTCATCTGAATGAAATCTTCATTGGATTTCTGGGTCGGTTGGTATTACTCGAATGAAGGACTCCTAATGAGGAGCTTTTGGATGTCTCTGGGATGATTGAAGATACTAAAAAATCATATCTTACTTGGATCGGCTCTCTTGCGATTGTTGGTTCATATGCTTTTTTTGCCTTGTTTCTTGCTGAAAGGCTCATTTATGTATCCTTCCATCATCTTTGGTGTCTCTCGTGTAAAAATGCAACCGTGTTTTCAGCTAAGCAGACAAAACATACGCTAAAAACAGTACCGTAACGTTTTCAGAAACGCCCCCGCACTTATAAGCTGCCCTAAACGAGCCCTAAGTTGCCTGTAAATATTATGATTTAGTTGTTAGATATGTAAATATATAAGAATTGCATGGTATGTATATGTAAAAATCCTTTTTATTTTAATTTTTTTCTTTAAAAAAAAAGGATTTATAATGGAGGCTGACTTGTTCTTATGATTGGAGAATGGACAATAATAGCTAATTTGACCAAGTATGATAAAGTGATATATATAAGTAAGAAAAAATCTATGTTAAAAATGAGTGTTTTATTGAATCAACTTTACAGGGATTGACCCATTAGCGAAAAGAAAGATACACAAGATTGAGGGGCTGAGGTGAAATAGTAAAATTGACTTTTATTTAGTGGTGAATCGTTAAGTGCAGGGAGCATGGTGTGGCCCAGATGTAGAAGAAAAGCTTTGGCCAACTTTGAATTTGGCTCTTCATATATAATTCATATTCGGGAAATTTACATGTATACAACATATTTTCTCATACCAAAAGTATGATATTTATATGTATACCACTAGTGTCATAACTCTATGCATGAAAACCAAAAAGAATGTGCTAACTCAGTTTTAAAAAAGTTATTAATAGTGGTTGGTGTGTGTGCCGGAAGATTCAAGATGGTAGAGTGATTATTTTGCATTTTAGCGTTGCACAAAAATCCAACAAATACTCAGGTAATTAAAGTGATAGGTAGACATCAAAAGTTTTTACGTAAAAAGTTTTTGGAAAGTGAAAAATTAACGGGCTTAGCCTAGTTGAAATAATTCAATAAGTAGTGGTGAGTGAACAGACTCAATTTTATCTTGCCTTGGAGAAAATGCAATTACAAAATTGATGCACAAAAACATTTCAGTAATAATTGTTGCAACAGGCCATGAAGGCTGTAATCGATTACTTTGAAGGCTGTTCTTTGCCGTGAAAGTTGTAAATTATAGTTGTAGCGTCAGGTTGTCATAGAGGTTGTAGTCGAAAGCCATGGTAATAGTTGGTCATGTGGACCCATAGATTGTTGATTTTAAAGTGTCAGTTGGTCACATAGGTCGTAGTATGAAGTCACAATAATATTCATTGGTCGCACATATCAGAGTTGAGTGCTGTGTGAGCTGTGAGCTACATCGATCGCAGTTGGTCACATAGGCCGTAACAGAGAGTTGTAAAAACATCCGTAGATCACGGAGGCACGTAGTCAGCAGCTGCAAGAGCAGGTGGCATTCGCTATACCTATGTTGTTAAACACCGGACCTCAGTCCC